AGGGTCGAAAATGCCTGCTTAATGTTGTGAATTAGTATCTTTGAAGACCTTTTTTATATTTAAGTTACTTGTGGTCGTTCTCTGACACACATGAGTCAAACAGTAAATATTTTATGTGTAAGAATGATCACTAATAGCCATATATAGTCCAGTCCCGACCCCCATCCCCCCCCCACATGACAAAGAAGCAGGGGATGGATTTTGTGATTTGTGGCTGCAGAAAGGGCAACTTGATTGCACTCATTACAGCAAGTTGCTTCAATTTCTGTGTCTGTGCAGTGGCCTGTTCTGGATGTTATTTTGAGTGGACAAAAATTAGACGGGTATATGCTGGGAAGTGTAAAAAACAAAACAAAACATAATACATACTTTTAACTGTCAAAGGGCCCGTATACCAACATGTGAGACGGTGTAAACTGTCAAGCAAGAAAAAATACCAAAATTGCAGTGATGTTGTCTTCTCTTTTTTAATCAGTAGCAGAGGGAAACATTTCCTCTTATTATTTTTTATCACAGTCCTTATATCTGTCTAGTCCTTTTTTAAAAACTTGCATTCAAGTCTCGTACGCTCTCCCGTGCACCTGAACGATTCCACCTTTCCATTTCTTGTACTTTTTTTAATTCTCAGGATGTAAGATGTGACTATTGTAATAAGACTGGAAGTCATTTACAGTCATCTTTAAATGGAGTTCGTATCTTGTTAAAAAAAAAAAAAAAAAAAGTAACTGTAAAGTAATATGAAAGCCATGGTGCATGATAAAATAAGAACTGTGTAAAGATGAGAGATTCTCAATAGACAGTAAGATAATGTGATTTCTTCTCAGTCTGTCTGTCTACACACATACACACGATCAGAAAATGAGAAATCAGTGACTCAGCAGACCGCAGAATGCAGAAAGCTCCGAGCTTATAGTATTTTATTGAAGACTTGACCTTGAGTTGCCTGGGAGTGTGCTGGGCGGCGTTACTCTGTACATACACTTGCCTTAGATAAAGACTGAATATATGTATGTCCTGTACACTGAAAGCTTGAAAGCATGCTTAGCATTACTGCTATTTTTCTTGCATAGTCCTTAATACTGTATTTCCGTGGGTACAGTTGCCATGACTGTTGTGTGGGAGAGATGCAACACAATCCAAAGGGAGCCTTGTAACCTTAGCGACCAACAGCAGCTTTGACAAATCAACAGACAAGGAAGTGTAGCGTAGTTATACCACGTGACAGCACGAGTTTTTTTTTTTTTTTTTGTATTTGTTTTTTTTTTGAGCTTTAAGTATTTTGTCTCAGTTAAAGATTGATAAATATTTCATCGTTCATTGTGTTTGTGCAGAATATTAAACATCTAGCACTTAAAAACACTTGAAGTTAGGCGCTTTCTTGATATGCAATGAGTCCTGCAGTACATAAAAGTAAAAACATCACAGTGATTTGTATGCTAAATATGTCACCACTTTCCAACCTTCAGAGCAATGTGACTGGCTTCTTTTTGATGATCATGTTAAAGATAATGCGTTCACACAATAAATGACTCTGCAGCTGTCATTAAAATTCCATTGTGAGGCCTCCCTTTAGCAGATAAATGAGCCTAAATGAGTCCTGCTTTTCTCAGAAGATCAACAGCATTTTCTAAGTCAGTGTGTGTAGTGAAAAAAAAGAGGATGACAAAAAAGCTTTTCTGCGCTACTGTTCAAGGAAATAATTCAAAAACAGGACAGAAAAAAATCTTTTCATGTCGGCTTAGTATCTTCTCCAGGCAGAAGGAGAGCAAGAGACTGACTGGGGCCCCCTGCAGGGGGTAATACGATTACCCAGAAATCTTTTGTGGTTTGGAGAGGTGGGCGTGGAGGTCATGGACAAAGGTCATGTTCAACAGATTTAACATGCTTCCTTGAAGACTTCATTTTTTCTTCCACTTTAAGAATCAGTAACTCAGAATATATTCCTTCTTTGCCGATTTGAGAATCACTGCAGTTACATTTTCTCTTACATGCCCTACAACATTGACTGTGTTTGCAATTAGCATCTTGGCTTCTAAAGAATACCTCTTTTTTTTCCCCTCTCTAGAAAACACAGTCGCCACAGCTGTGATTTACGTGATTCTGAAGGTGGTTATAGAAGACGTACAGACTGCACATGATGTGATTCCCCTTTATCTAGATTCTGGATCCTGAACAGGACCATGGAGCCTCTGTCATATTTTTGGTTTTGTTTTGTTTTTTCCTTTTTTACAATTGCCTGTAAAAAATGAAGAGATTGTGTATTTCAGTTCATTTTAATATTTTAAAGAGATTAATCACTGCATATGGTCTGTTGTAGAAATGAATAAATTATTTAAAGATGTTAAACCTGTGTGACGTTTGTGAATAGTATGACTTCATGTAGGTGAGTTGTAAATTCACCTTAACCACTAAGAGTGGCACAATTTAAAGTGGTAAATGTAAGGATACGACCATTACAGCGTTCTGCCACGCTGTGCCTTGTCTTCCAAGCTGTTGCCAGCCAACTCTGATTAGCCACAGAGGCAACAAATGGTCAAGGTGACAGAAAATACTTAATTTATCAACATGTGCTCATTTAAAGGTCCAATGCGTCATTTGAAACCTGTTATCTGACCTTAAACTGACTCTTACCTGACCTCTGACGTGATCAAATTATTACGTTGTACCATTTCCTTCTGTCAGCCAGGCTGTAATTCCCTTTTGTAGTCTACACACTATAAAAACATATGTTGCACTTGTTTTACAATGCCCATTAAGATGGGTGGTTCATGATTAAAAGGTATTAACAGGATTAGCAGACAGCTGCCATATGGTTCATGAAGCACTGGGCTGAAATCATGATGGCACAGGTATTAAGCAAACTGTACATGGCAAATGTTTTTTATGGTACTTATGATACTTGAGAGGTTTATCATGTCACCTGTATGAATTACACTAAGAATTTTACATCATAATACACGATAAAAACTACAACATTGAACATCAGATAAAGTTGAACAGGTCACAGTTTGGGAAAGAAAGTTAAATACATCCCAACAATGTTTTAGATCATCTCATTTCAACTCTATATTCCAAAAGTGCATTAACTTTTTTTAAGCTTTTTTACTCTGGTTTGCAATTGTGAACATTTTTCACATGCACACGTGACACTTGGACATGCAGGTGTCTTGCTAAAGTAGATTTCTTTAGTTTATTTCACTGGCATAAAGAATCAAATGTTTTACTTTTAAGTGTTGGGTGGAGCTCCTCCTTGCTGTCTTGTGTTGATTCCTTTCGAGGTGTACAACAGTGTTAGCTGTACAATTTAAGGAGCTTTTCCTATTTATTAACATTATTTTATTTATTTAACACAGGCGATTAATACATATAAAACACAAGACAATATGATGACTTGACAATATAACCTCACAAAAAAGGAAAAAAAGTTAATACAAATAAAAAAGACAAAATAAAACAAACACATCCCTCCTTCAGTAATTCAAATAATTTGCTTTACACTACTGGTAGACACTGAAATATACATATGACAGGTATAGCATATTTAGAGATAAATGTAGTCCCAATCTTCACTGGCACTTTTTTTTTCATTTCATGTTTAGTTGTGCTATGTTTGTGACCGTTTGTAGCATTTTTCCCCCCAGAAATTTGCTTTGAAATGCATTTTTTGGAAACTGAAATCTTGATTGAGCTTTATTTATGTGTTTATTGTTGTTCCAGTAACAAAAAGACAACAAATAATGGCAGTAATGATATGACATTAAATCAAGTGTACAAAAGATAAAAAGGACTAGGGTTGCAATGAGATTTTCATAGGATAACCATCTTAGAAAATATCACTGTATCACGGTATGTGGTATCACAATTATTATTATTATCAGGTACAATGATCCTTTTAGGGAATTAAAACAGAAGGGTTTTTTGGTTGGACAAATGCTTTATTATAAGTGGGACTTAAAACTGTTTTTTAAAAGTCTGACAGGCAGTAAAAGAAGGAAGGAGATGCACACATGCAATTGAGATTCTCTGTCCAGTCTTTTTAATATCCTGTATACCTTAGCAAATATATATGGTATGATAACAGACATTTCCATACCATGGTTTTACGGTATACTGCTGCAACCCTAAAACATACATAAGGAGGGGAAAATATATATGGAAAATTAGTTGTAAAATAACCTTGTATGCACAAACCTAACTAAATGGATACACAGAAGTGGTGTTTACAGTTGTAAGCAATGAAGGCTCATGATAACAGGGGTATATGAGTGTAACTGGTGATGATTCTTGGTGAAAAAGGGCAGTAAAGACAGTTGAAGACCGCACAAAACAAGATATAGCCTAGACCAGTGGTTCTGAAATGGTGTGCTGTGATGCAAATCCAGGTGTGCCATTGTATTTTTTTTTTGTGATAACCACACATTATGGCTGCAATATTCAACCGGACCTATACAAAAAGTTACGGATTCATTTTTAATTGACTGTATCAGTATGTTGTGCAGACCCATTTCCTAATAAAGAGGCAAACTGTACCTAAAAATTTTTTTTAATTTAATTTAATTTAAAAAACCTTTACGGGGAAACCAATTTGTCGCCATCCACGTGTGGGAATAAGTTTCACATTATTTCCATGTAAAAAGAATGTGTTATTGGTGCTTTGCTGTAATTTTAAAACATTTAACATGAATTCTTGACTCGGACATATTTCATGTGTAATAGTTGGTTGTCAATTATTATTTGATATTAGTAAATAAAAACAAACATTTATGTGGTGATAACAGTGATAACACACCTTATAGAGGCTATTGTGCACAGTCACAGTATCAGAGGAGATAATGTGGCCTATATGAACTTTTAAAGTGTATTTTCTTGCATTATCTTTAGTGTTTGAAGTCTCCCCCTCTGATCTGACCACCCCCTCCTCTGCCCACTCTAAACACACCTCCCTCTCCTCCAGTCCTCCTCCTCTTAAGGCTACTTCGCCAGATGGTGCAGCCTTTTCTTTTGTTTACCCATCGTCCCTGAGTTTACTTTACTAACCCTTAGCTACTAAACTATGGACACTGCCCGGGCAGCATCACCGTCGGACACCGACAAGTAAGTCGTTTGTCTTTTTTAACTTCCCGCTGAGTGAACCCGCGACACCGAACATCTTTGTCGGAACATAAAAAAAAGAAGACCTGCATCCACCTTTTACTTAGCTATCCCTGCTTTACAACTCAGACGTATTGTGGCCAGCTGTTGTCGTTTGCTGTCTCGCTACGTGAGGGTGAACTACAAATACATACTTGGGTCCTGCTTTTTAATAATATTCCCAAAAAATTAATTACAGTAGCAGACATGGAGGGCCGCTCTTGTGATGCTGACTTTTGACACCTGTGGAATAGGCGACTGTTGATACTTTTATTTGTGATTTCTCAAACTAACTTTTGTCAATTTATCCACATAACTGTCCGCCGCCTGACTGACAACTCGGGAAACCAATGACAGGATGTAGAAGTCTGTGTACACCGCCGTTGCCATAGTTACAGACCGACATTCCAAAGACCTGGAAATCGGGGGGCGGGACTAACGTTTAAGCACGGGTGGGTGCACTTTTGAACAGCAACTAACGGCAAGAAACTTTTTACATTTGTAACTTTGCGAAGTTAACAGAGAAAGCATGCACTTCTGAGTATTAACTGTCAAACACATGTTTTTAATTTCTTTACAAAGCAAGCGTTACAACTTGAGCTAACGTAACTTTACTAGCATGTACCGCTAACCAAGCTAACGGTAACGCGTCAGCTAATCTCAGCTAACGGTAATAGTTTCTTTACAGTTCAATACCGAATGTGTTAGACTATTTGCGGACAAATGGTTTTAAACTCAAACGAAATCCTCAGTCCGTGTTGATAGTAAGCTATAAACAACGTTAAAAGTTACCCCAAAGTTTCACTTGTTGAAGGCTGGGTCTAATTAATTTTACCTGCATGCCTGTCAGGTGTGAAAGGTATCTCCCATTGGACAGAGCTGCTGTGACTCCACCCTGCACAGGTGTGTCTGTGTGTATGGTGCCTTCCTCTTAACACGTGTTATTAACTCTCAATATTGGCATTAATGACAGTATAATGCTTTGATATTGTGCATGATTTTATAACTATAGTTACCTATGTACTATGTGGAGTAGAATTATCCAGTAAACTTTGGTTGAAACAGTAAAGCATGTTAAGGAGAGAAAATGTTCATGAAATGTGGACTTAGCACAAGTTTGATGACTTTAGACTTGACAAAATCAAGAGAGACTTGCAACTTGACTTCAGCTTTAAAAGCAATGATTATTGACTTCACTTAGACTTGAGCCTTGTTACTTAAAAATACTTGATACCTTACCCCAAACCCACAGGCTGAAAAGTATTAAAAAGTGAGCCATAAAAAACTCAGTTCCTTTTTATTTCCTGATTTGACTTAGACTATTAATTCCCAGCAAGCTGACACTTAGTTTCTCTCCATTGTTAAGACATGATACTGAAACTGGGATCCACTTGATCTTCGTCATGACTTTGTTTTCTTAGTACAGCACAAGTCTTCTCTTGTAAATGTGTGAACAGTTTTTCATCAGTTTCACACATTGTTCACACCCTTTTCATAAGAGTTAATACCAGAAAGACCAAAAACTACTGGATAAACTGTGTTGAACAAAAGGCAAACATCTATTCACAGTTGATAAAAATTATTTGCATGATTATGAATTTCCAATGCACCTATTTGAAACTCCTTTGCACAACTCTTCAATCAGCAGTCCATTTATAAAATAAGTTTTGTTACAAGTTTCAAATGCTTTATGAGTGTCAGAGCATTTTGCAAACAAAAATCTTCATTTTGTCCAGCAACCTTTTGTCTGTGAACTGTTTTGAAAAATATTTTCTGACTGGACACGTGTTCAGGCAAATGAAAATTGTAATTCCCCAGATCCACATTGCTTGAGCCAATCTGACAGCATCCAGTCAAGTTGCAGGAGGGAACCATTAAGAACTAATGTTACATTACTGAATGCCAGTTGGAAAAAATGATGCCAAAGATTATGTTGTTTGTGTACAAAAACTACATGGTGGTCATCAAAAAAGAATTGCAGACAGATGCAACAACTTCCAACAAAGTTGTTTGAACAAATAAGCACACATTTTAAAAGAACTCATAGTTATTTAAAAGTTTAACATGTTATTACTCTTTTGAAATTCAAAGTTTAGGACTTGGGACTTGACTCTGGACTTTTCAGTCTTGACTTGGGACATGAGTGTAAAGTGAAACTTACTTGTCTTCTGAAAGGTTCTCATGACTGACTGGCTTCTGTTCTGTTGTGCTGCAGGTAACTGAGCCTCTGAATTGGGAGAGAGTGACACCAGGATGGGAATGCTACAGTAACAAGGCTGTGCCAGTACTGAGGATAAACTTTCACCCCTCTGCTGCATTTAGAACCGCGACTCATTTTTTCGTAGCAGCTTGCCAGCAGAGCGGTGTGACAAGAAGACAGTTGAAGATGCCCTGCATTCCTGCCTGAGCAGAGCCAAGGGATGTATAATGACTAACTGATACATACTGAATCAATGGACAAGAGGACGTTCCCTGGCACAATGTTCAGGCAAGTGGATGCATCATCCAAAAGACGGCCTTGTGGTGGAAGCGGACTGCCCCAGCCTCCGCCATCCTCCTCCATCCAGCAGGGTCGCATCCGGGCTGTGGAGGTGGCGAGAGGGAGAACAGGCTATGGCTTTACGCTGTCAGGCCAAAGTCCGTGTGTCCTCAGCTGCATCCTGAAAGGGAGCCCTGCAGACTATGTAGGTTTGCGTTCAGGAGACCACATCCTCTCTGTCAATGACATCAATGTCTCCAAGGCATCGCATGAAGATGTGGTCAAACTGATAGGACGCTGCTCTGGTGTCTTGAAACTGGTCATTGCTGAAGGAGAGCGCCACAGGCGGCACCATCACCACCATCAACGCAGTGCTGGAAGTCGTCATCATAGCAGCAACACAATGGCAGCATCTTACATGGACTCATGCTCTAGTGATGATGAGCTGGATGGTTTTTATGACAACGGTGTAAATAACAATAATAACAGCAGGTCAGGCTGCGGGGCTCGTGGGGGGTGGTACAAACCCAAAATGGATTCTAAGCAGCTGGGCATCAACAGGGCAGAGAAGGTTGTGGCAGAGCTGCAGTCCGGAGGAATTTTTAACATGATTTTTGAGAACTCCAGCCAGTCCTCCAGCAGCTCAGACAAGGAGAGACCTGGGGCCAGCTCATCATCAAAGCCACGCCCGCTGTCTGATCCAGAGTTCCCTCCATATCGGAACCCCTCGCGTTCACAGAGCAACCCCAACCTGCTCTCTGAGGAGGAGATGGCCCAAGTTCTAAATGATGACTCAGTCTTCCTGGACGCAGACTTCCGTCATCTCCACCTTCAGCACCACGAAGAGCAAGACTTGGATGTAGGAGATGGCGGTGACTTGGGCCTAGAGCCCAGCGAGGGCATCCTCAATGTGGGCATGATTGTTGGCTATCTGGGCTCCATTGAGCTGGCCTCCATAGGGACGAGCTTAGAGAGTGACAGCCTGCAAGCCATCAGATGCAGCATGAGACGCCTCCGGGCCGAGCAGAAGATCCATTCACTGGTCCTGATGAAGGTGCGATTGAATGTTTTGTCAGCCATCATATGATAATAACTTGTTAGCTATATATTTTGAATGTAGTAAAAAACAACACTAGTGTACCCTTGACTGCAGTAAGCTTAAAAACCTCTAAACTTTGTCTTGTTGAGCACAAGGCCTCAAATAAGCAAGACAAGATTTGATCATCCTGTATTCACACTTCAAGAAAATAATCAACAACATTACTTTGTTTCATTGGTATAAACAGTGGGGCGTCTGTCTGTGATCGTTAAGATGTCTGGTAACTATGATTGTCTCATTATCTTCCCCTGTATCATATTGTAACATGTTAACTATATCTTGCCAGGTGATGCATGACAGTGTGCGTCTGTGCAGTGACAGAGGTCAGGTTCTGGCCACCTATCCTGCAGAAAAACTAGCCTTCAGCGCTTGCTGTCCCGATGATCGTCGATTCTTTGGACTGGTCACGATGCAGGCCACTGACGACCACGACGATTTTCACTTCAACAACGGACGAGATGAAGAGGGCAGTCTGAGGACTTCCTGTCACGTCTTCATTGTGGACCCAGACCTCTGTCACCACCAGGTGTGAATAGAGAGACAGTGATGAGATACAATAAGAGGTTACAGATCACACATAGAAGGAGATAACTGGATTTTATCACAACAAAATCTACTGAATTCTTAAGTTATTATTAAGTTATTCCAATTTAATTGTAAAATTATTAAGTATTGGATGTTTTATTTTCCACTGTTTTGTCAGCAACAGATAGGACTTCCAAACATAAAAAATGCAGCAGCCAAGTACTGAATTAGTGCTCTGCTAGGTGTTCTTTAAAGGAATAGTTTGGATTTTTTTGAAGCAGGTTTTTATGATGTACTTGTCTATGGTCAGTGTGTTAACCACAGTAGATGTCAGGTGGCATACTGCTTTGGAAAGGGGCAACAGCAAAACTTATTTTAGCCTTCTAATAGAAAGGTCTACCCCCCCCCCCAAAAAAAATCAATATCAGTTTAAGTAGATGCTATATTGAGAATATTTTCACTGCTTTATTTCACTGTAAGACAGCTCTTTCCTTTGGGGCTATATTTTCTCAAATGAAGAACTTCGGTATTCCTACACAACACTCTCTTTTGGCCTGTTTAGTAGCCCTCCACAGAAGCTTTACATACTCTGGTTCATAAAGGTATCCTCCTGTCTCCACAGTGGACAGCATTTTGTTGTTGCTTTCATAAGAAGTATTTTTTTCTTGTATTGGTTGTCTCCTCCATACACTGCTGAAAGTCAGCTGATCTGCAGTGTAATACAGTGCGCTGCACAGTTGCGCTTGTGTGTAGGAATTCAGAAGTATGACGTTTGAGAAACTGTAGTGCCAAAGAAAGGGCTGTGTAACAGCAAGGTAAAGTAATGAAATATTCTCAATTTAGCGTACACATACACTGGTAATGATCCTGTTAGGTAGGACTTTATTTGCTGTATTAAAAAAAAATGTTTTGCTGCTGCCCCTTTTCACAGCGGTATCTTGCTTAGCTTCTGTGTTGGCACTCCTGCCTGCTTCTCCAAACTGGGGGCGTGCCTACTGCCATCTACTGTGGGTAATACACTGACTATGGATAAGTGCCTCATGCAATCCCACTTCAATAAATCAGTAATATCTCGATAAGATAAAAAATGATCACAGAAAAAAAAGTGAAGGCAATCACAGTCAGAGCAAGAAAAAAGTTATAATAAAAACCATTATAGAGTATAAGCTTTAAGTTTTGGCCGGTTTTGACCTCACAAAGTCTTCATCGGGGCGAACATAGTAGGAAAAGGGTGTTTTACTTTAGGAGTTGTGTAATACAGTACCATAGCTTTGGTACACTGAAGCAATACTAACAACAGCTAACAAGGGTTCAAACTTTTTTCTATGCAATTTTGTAATTAAAAAAAAAAAAAAAAGATACTGTAGAGACTGACACTCACTGATGTTTCCTAAGGTCCATTCAGGTGTAGCCAGGAGGTTTGGGTTTGAGTGCACCCCTGACCCGGACACAGGAGGCTGCCTGGAATTCCCGCCCAGTTCTCAGCCTCTCCTCCAGTTTGTCTCCGTCCTCTACCGGGACATGGGGGACAACATTGAGGGGGTCCGGGCTCGGGCTTTCCACGATCCAGACAATGATGCCCAGCAGAACCACAGCACCAGCAGCAACAGTGACAGTGGGATCGGCAACTTTTTACCAGAAGAGAAGAGCAACAGAGTGCTTTTAGTAGACCTCGGAGGTCCTCCTAACCACAACCACATCTCTGGGCCACGCCACTGGGACAGTCCACCCTCATCCCAGCAGGCCTGGAGCCCCACCCTAGGAGCTGCAGCCCCTCACCCGCCTCCTCCTCCTCCACCAGCTCTGCGAAATGGCCACTACCGTCACGATCCACACCTGGCTGACCTCCCTCACCCTCTCCCCTTGGCTCACCCCGATGTCCCTGGCAGACACTCTCGAGGGGTCCACCCACACCACTACTCACCGGGAAAGCGGGGAGGAGCTGTGGGGGGAGGAGAAAAGAGAGGGGGCGGAGGAGTGGGAGCAGGGGTGGAGCCGCAGCGGTGGCTACCAGTCCATGTGCTGAGAGACTGGCGTCAGCAGCACCACCACAGCCACCTCCAGGGCCTGAGCAGCGATCAGGAGTCCTACGCTGAATCCACCGACGGATGGTCATCAGCCAACTGCAGCACCCTGCCCCCACCCATGAATAAGATCCCGGCCGACCGCTACCGGGCCCCACTGGCCCCCGGGGACCACCTGCCACCACCTGGAGGGAGCCAGCCTCCTCCTCCTGCGCATCCCCACACCCACCGGCTGGCTGCTCACAAAGATGAGTGGGCTAAGAAGCTGTTTGGTGGAGACAGGGAGAGAGCTGGGGCAGAGAGAGGTGAAAGAGAGAAGAAACGAGGGAATGCAAAGGAGGGAGAGAAAAAGGTATGTCTTTGATAAAGTTATTAATCTAATTAGTAATAGCCTTAATTATCATGCCAACATGTATTTTATTCATTTTTATTCAATATTTTCAGCCCAGTAGATGGTCAGTCTTTCTACAATCCTGCATTCAGTCGTGTGTTATGCTGTGCCAGTTTGTGGGCTGTGGGCTTTTGGAAGAGTTGTGTTAAAACTGACCATGAGATGAGAAGCCCGGGCAGCAGGTAGCATCCCCCATCACATGCCCCTGCTGTGGAAATTTACTCTGACTAGAGTGTGTCCAAGACCACAGTTTATTGAGGCTATAAATCCATCTGCGTTCATCCCACTGCTCTCCATCGCATTCTCACCCTCTCTTTTTAAGGGCCCAGCATTTAACTCATTCAGTCCCTGAGTAAAGTCTGTCTCTTTCTCACATGTAAAAATTTTGGTTGTTTTAAAAGTTGGGTTGAACCTTGTTCACCCCACCAAACATCCCTACACTGTGTCGAATAATGCCAGCACCGTGGTTGGCTCTCTCCCCAGACTTAGTACAAGTGGATTGATAAGTTATTTATCCCCACTGCTCCAGTATCAGATCATGTATTATGCACTAGGCCGGCATCTGCCTTCACCTGAAAACCACCTGTTTCCCACCGTAATGAGACTCAACAGCAGACCAGGCTTTACACTGGTGTTAATGAAGTAAATGTATTTGCATAGTGTTTGTTTGATTTAGTTAAAGCATTTATTTGCTTACATATGATTTATTAAAGACATTTCAACCACATTGTTACATTAGTAATATGACAAACAGTAAGTAGAAACTAATTTACATTTGAATACATTGGCTGCATTATTTTGTTAGAAGAAACTTCCTTTTGCATTGAGATAGAGCACATTATTGGCTGTTTATTGTTTCCCAACAATAGAGAGGAACAGACGCAGACAAAGAGTGAAAGATATATCCAGCCTGACTGGATTCCTTCTGCATTAATCTCTCTACAGCCCGTCTGAATCTACAGAAGTATTTAGAGAACAGTTACATCATCAACATGTAAATATCCAAAGAGATACTGGGGACAGAGCCTTTTTCCTTGATAGTGGAGGAGACTGGTGCTTCCCTGAGTAAACTCATGGTGGACAGGGTCCCAGAGACCCCCAGGAGACAATTGGAGGAAGTGTTTACATGCTCAGGGCTACGGTAGCGGCTGAAAGTGAAAGGAAGGTTGAACAATGTCTTCTGACTGGAGACAGCTAACTTCAGAGGCTGTGACTTTCATGGTAAGCCACGTATAGTGGTAGTCAAAATACAATGCTGACTCTGCTGTGACAAATGTAGCTTTGCTGTATTGATATAGCCTTCTGTCTCCTGTAAGTAAAACTGTATTATAGGGCGATTTCATATAGATATTGTGACATGAGACTAGATATCGTCTTTTTTGGACATCATAATATCATAAGAGTTGTCTTTTACTGGTTTTAAAGGCTGCATTACTGTAAAGTTGTGTAATTTTCTGAGCTTACCAGACTGTTGTAGTTGTTGCCTTAACCCACTTAGTCATTATATCCCCATTACTGATGATTTTTTATTAAAATCTTGTGTAAATATTTTGTCAAAGTACCAATAGTCAACCCTACAATATTTTCACAATATTGATATTGAAATATTTGGTCAAAAATGATTTTTTCCATATCAGCCGGCCCTATGGTATTATACCGTAAGTATTAGAACTAAATTATTAATTATTGCATACATGTAATACAGTGTCTTATGCATCCTAAATGTATTTTTTTCCAAACATTGAATTTTCTTCATACAGACATGTGTACGTATGTATACAGTAAAAAATCAGTGGGTGCCTTGTCAACCAAAACACACACTGAAGCACAAACACAAAACACAAATAATCATCTTATCAGACACAAAGCCATTTTTTGTACCTAAAAGCACGTTAAACGTAAAATTATTTTATTATCGTCACAAAAATTTAGTTCTGAATAGCCTTATCGCAGGTCTCTGTTACAGAGTACTCAGTCTTTCTCTTCATCATTTGAAAAGTCTGCATATTTTACAAAAGCAGTCTTTTAAACATAACCTGTTTCTCTTTTTGTGTGTACATTATTTCTAAAGGGAAAGCTATTGGCATTTTTCTAACCCAAAGTGTAACACTTTGGGTGTATTATTAGTCTTTTTCTAAAATATTGTGATAAATATTTTGGAGTGCAGAAGACACATATCTATCATTGTTTGTTCACTTTTGGCATACTTATTGTCTTTCAGGTAAAGCCATGAAATAAAAAATCTAGGGTCAATTGGACTCTTGTTTTGAAATAATCTTTTCTGTTGCCTTTGTATCCTCTTCCCAAAGAGACTTTATCTGACTGCTTTTCTAAACATGATTAAATAATGTACATTTTATACATTATATTTTGATCTAATTAAGCTGGATTGATATATGTTCGCATTAGATGTATACACAATTTTCCTTAATGTATTCCTAAGTCTTGGCCACACGGTGGCACTGTTTTACCATCTAAACCTTCATAAGCCCCCTGCACTCTCATCACAGACCATGGGAAACTAATTTAGATTTTTATTTTTAAAAAAGCTATACATCTATTTTGAAAGTCCCTTGGTAGCTGAGGTTCATCTGACCACAGAATGCACGTCTTTGATTTACTTACATGATAGAAATCTGAACTTTGAGTGCCTCATTGTGGAATTAAAGTCAGAATACACTAAATACAGACACAAACAGGCAATTGAATCCTGACTCTTAAAATGTGATACTGTGATTGATATGATTTTTTCGTTTATTGTAGAATCAAAGAGATTACTGTTCAGTTATGTCAACTGTGCTTGTAAGGCTTTGGTACAATTAAGCCCCTGTTACACTGGAGCAGTTGTTATTTTTAAGAGGAAGAAATGTTGTGAGTTTGGGTTTTTATGTTGACAGCTGTGTTGTTGTAAACAGGAAAGATGCCTCTTTTATGTGACAGTGATAGTATGTGTGTGTGTGTGTGTGTGTGTATGTGCGCGCGTGTATGTGTGGGAGGGAGACCAGGGGACATGATCAACAGCACAGATAAAAGCTGTGAGTTTTCCACTAAAACATAGTCTTTCGGATGTTTCTCTGAGCGTGTAAAAGCCCTTGTGCAGCCACACCCAGAGCAGAACAACCCCTGACTCAGATCAACACGGTATAATTTTCTTTTCAATCCAAATATTCACTTATAAAAAAACCTTTTGTTCACTTACTGCTTTGTTTCCATTACATAGAAGACTTATTTTCAACTGACAACGTTAAACTGAGGTCATGTGTGCATGTGTGTATCCACATGTGTAATCGAGTGTTCAGATCTGCGTTATCAGACACTCACACACACACACATACACGTACAAACACAGACGTAGGGTTGCCTCAGTATCCAGGCAACACCACTGGTCATTTCCTAATGAAATGCTTACAAGACCTGCTCCTAATCAGCCAGTCAGATTCAACATGTGTCACAGTTTGGCCTCTGGAGCCTGCCAGCATGGATTAATTACTAATTAGTTAGCTGGGGTTCGTTGATATTCACTCTCAACTGAAATATAAGGAGATTGGCAAAGTGTCGTTGGTGAGAAGAAGAGAGCAAGAAGTGGCATATTTCTGTTGTTCTCCAAAGAAGAACAGTTAAAAGGCTAATTGTAGACTCCTCTCGGGTTTACAGCACTTCTCCGCGTGGTTACATCATAGTCAGATGGCTTTGCACAATAAATCTTGATGACCCAGTGGCTAATTTTCTCATGTGCTCATTTTAGGCAGCCATTTATAGCATCATGTAACAGCTGGCCAGTTTTAACTTTGTTCCAGTTAGTTGGTTTCCACCAAGCAGCAATCTCCAGGGCTGAAAAATGGAAGTGCCAAAAACTGCAGTTCCTCTAATGGCCACTTGAGGCTAGCTCTAAAAGTGAGTTAATCCCTATCGACACCCATGTTAAAATTCCCAAATGTACAGTACTTCTTAGTGTGGTTACATCAAAGTCAGATGGCTTTGCACAGTAAATTTTGATGACCCAATGATTTCTTTCATGAGCTCATGAATTGCAGTTTTCTTTTTAAAAAGCTGCATTTTAGACTGCAACAATCCCAAAAAATACCAGCAAAATCCTGGAGAGACTGGCTTAAAGCATCATGTAACAACTGGCCAGTTTTAGCGTAGTTGGTTTCCACCACAATTGTTATGTCATCTTGCTTTTGTCTACAATAATTATTAAGTGGAAGTACATTACATGTACACAGTAATTAACCCTACGCAATACAATTCAAGAGCACAACATACCACTTTCTCAGATACAGCTCCACAAGTGCCACCCTGTCCCTCCCATCTGTGTGTGTGTATGTCTGTGCTCTGGCTGTGGTTGAGGGGTGAAATAAAGTACTATCTGGTACTGCAGGCAAAAATCACAGGACTGTACATGCTTGTGCATAACATGTGGTATTTAACATTTAAGTGGAAAAAAGAAGAAACCCATGCATGTGTAAGAGAGGAAGCTTCAGGCAAAGCTGAGCAAATGTCTTCATGTAAGCTTCCATGTAAAGCTGTTCACATGGTATGTCGAGTCTTTATTTAACTGACACTTAGACATTCAATTATCTAAAACACCTGTCGGACCAAAAGCACACACAAACAGGCACCGGTCAGGCTGTTAAATTACCTGTCAAAATCTGTATCGGATAATTGTTTTGATCATTATGGTTTAGAAATTCTAATGTTATTATCCCATTTGTTTTTAATATAACACCCGTATGGGTAAATTGACATTACATGACAGAGATGCACGACAGCATTATTAACACCCACACAAAAACCTTGGCTACTGTCCACAGTCCTCCAACAGTGTAAACACTAAAGTTTAAAAGCACTCATAATGAAAATATAATTGAATATGGATATGTTAGATAAGATGAGTAGATGTTTACTGTGCATGTTTTTTTTATTTCATATTTTAGGATGTTTAAGGTTGATACTTATACCAGTATTGATATTCGATATGATATTTCACTTGTTATTCATTTTCTTTTCTATATGAAAAAACATTTTTGTCGAAGAAAGTATCATATAAATATATTTTTTTAAGAATTGTGACCAGGATATCTACTGAAAGGGACATTTTACAGTGTGAAAATAAAACATGTCAGTACTGTCTGGTGAACAAACTGTCCAGTGGAGACACTTTTAACCCCAAACATATCTCTGCTATGCTGAAATCTGACATTTACATTTACATTTACATATGCTGTACCAGTATATCTGCCATAAGCCAATATCGGACGATTTATTGCTCTAATTCTTATGTAAATTTGTTTATTTTTGTGGGATTTCACCAGTTAAGAGTGACAGAAAGTATGAAGAGAGATAGGGTGAGGGATAGGGCTGGGTATGGGTACTCAATACTGTAAAGGTATCAACCGAAATAACCCAATACCAAGTAATATCAAAACTTCTCCAGTCAAACAATACCAGCATTCTATTGTCTCTGTATGTAGATCTAGGAAAAAATACTATTTGTCTGGTTTTACTCGTAACCAATCACCACAAGCCTTGTACGATTTACTGTGATGTGTGATTGGCCTACTACCGCAGCTACAATACAGAGTGTGTTGTGGTGAACTTGAGTAGTTGGTGTATTTGATGGAGTTGGCAGTTGAGCATAAAATGTTTTGTACAGTGATTTAATAGGTATTTTAATAATTTCACCACTTCTGAAATACATAAGTGTAAAAATTGTTTGGATGGGGAGTGGTGGTGTTGGCATTTCACACAACTGAGTGCTTTTATTCACATGATGGGAAACAGCATTGTCATTTTTTAAATGATACCCAGCCTTAGTGAGGAAATTTGTTCATCTATGTCAAGCTTCTTAGATTATTAAGGAACCCTCTGCATCGAATTAGTGTGAAAGTCAAATGAGCATTGTTTGCTGTTTATTCAGCTTTCCGTAACAACTTCTCCTTTGCTGTTGGCCAATTTCTTTCCCTGACTCTTAGGCTACTGCCCCCCCTCACCTGCATGTACTGAACCTGTGTACATTTCCTCTCCTCAGGGTGGTCGGTTCCGTGGTCTCACCATGGGCTTCCCTCCTCTCCCCCAGCGCTCCTCAGCCAGACGCTCCTTTGGACGCTCCAAACGTCTCAGCCTGGCCCGCTCTCTGGATGACCTGGAGGTAGGAGAATTTGCATGCACACATACTAACACACACACACACACACACACACACACACACACACAGTACTTCCATCGTCCAACAAAGTATTGAGTGTACTGTAGCGCTCAAGCTCAGTCTGACCACTTTGTTGCAGTCACATTTGAGCCACACATGCCCCATCCATCTCTAATAATAGCACCTCATGCACATCATACATCCTCACATATCAAGGAATCTTCTGGCATCACCGTGGCAACATACACACAATCGCAGATAGAGCCAGGATACAGCAAGAGCCAACAGACGTATACAGCCTGGTATTTATGGATTTGGACGGAGGCTGGCGTACAGCTTTGATAGGAAAGAATTTCTCAACATCTCAGTCTCAGTTTGATATCTGGAACCATACATGTAGGTGTGGAAGTATAGCATATTAAGCTGACAGGGTGCAGTATGGCCACGCTGTAGCAAGAATCCTACTTATGCCTTCTTTTTAGCTGCAAGAAATGACCTATTATCCAGTCATTTGAGAAACATGTGTTTTGCAATAACAATATGCCTATTTAGTACTACTGTACAACATATGAAGAGGAAGTATGCAGCTGCGGCTGTAGTAGATTTTAGGAACAATACACTGCTATCGTGGTTACCACTGTCAAAAGCCTTGAGACAAAGCTTAGGTTTGCACAAGGTTATACTCATTTTAATTGTGTGTGTAAGATGAATATGTATGGAATTGCATTTCCAGCAGCTATATTTGTCGTCTTTTTATCATGAAGTGAGATAACAGTTGCCTAACTGGCTACAGAACAATAGTGCACATTCAAGTTCAACTAAAGTGGAACATAGTGTTATTCTCATCATGCTTGTGTCTGTGTGAATGTTGGCAAGACCAAAACGGAGTCCTGCTGTCTGTGAGCACAATTCATAACAGCAGTTTTGGTCTTAAGATAGAGATCAGAAGAAAGCTAAATGTTTCCGGCGTTTAGTGGCTACTGAGGCACCCAGGGGGTGGATAAGCACATCCCACACTGTTGCTTCAGTAGTGATTTTTTTTTTTTTTTTTGGGAATATACATTTTTGGCATTTTTCCTTTATTGGACAACACAGTAGAGAGAGACAGGAAGTATGGTGAGAAAGGGAGTGAAGCTGGCAATTACATGCCACAAAAGTCGCTGGCTGGATTCAAACTGGAGATGTTGTGTCTTAAATTAATAGGCCCAAAATAGGGATGTTTATACTTAACTGTTAAGTACCAAGAATTTTGACCAATACTATCAGATAAACAGTTAAAAACAAGAATCAAGCATAGTACACTGGTGCTGCAGGGTGAGATAATGAGACAGCAGCGTCTGCCGCTGCCCAGGCTGGAGTCATTTGACACCACCAGTTCAAAGCCATGGTGTTGCTGTAGGGAGAAGACTGACATTACAGCACCCCTCAACAAGCTAATGACGAAGAGGCAGAGGAGAACACCTATACAAGAGACTATCCTCCTTATTGGATACAAATGTCAATCCTCTTCACTGGTGGGAAAGACCAGCAAACATTCTGTTGCTTCTGCTACACAGAATGGTCAGTACAATGTTGCCCATTTAGCATGAGTTAATACAGCAGCAGCTAACATTCAACACAGAGCAGTTTAACGCCCCTAACAAACTCACACCAACACTGAAATGGCTTGACCTGTTAGATAATGTTAGCTGTGTGATGCTAACACACCTGTTCCCTCACAGCAAGAGGGTTTCTGGTTCGAACCCAGGGTCAATGCCAATCTTAACGGAGCTCACACTCCCGCAGCAGTAGTGTTATAATAATCAGAGAGAGAGCACAGGGGGAATGGAGCACTGAACGAAGCATTACGCTGCCTGCAGCTCTAAAATGAAATAAGATTTTATCAATTTTAATGAGTTAAAAAAAGAGTCATGCTCAGCTCCTCCCCATCAACGGTTAATGATTGGTTCACTAGGGTTGGCTATTGGCTGTCGTTTACAAAACAGAGTTCTAAATTAGCATCCCTAGCCCCAAACTATTTTAATTACATTTAATTTGGCTGTGTATAGTTTTTATGAGAAGTCTTCCAATTGAGTCAATTTCCTCAAAGGCAAAATCAATTTGCAGATTACTTGGTGCCTCAAATTAGCTTTTCTGCCCACAAATTCCCATCATTGCCGACTATAATTAACAAACTATAATTACTTTCTGTTCATGATGTTATGAAGAAGAGGTTGCACTCTGCTAATATCCATGTTTTACTGTCAGTCCAAATGTTAACTAGGCACTTAAGACCCCCCTACAAACACATTTCACAACCTGTCTTTCATACAGTCATATTCATTTTCTATTTATCACGACGATAATTACAAAAATGATTCATCACCAGGTGGTAAAATCGGAAGCACCGGGGCATTTTTCCAGACACTTGAATTGCCCTCCATTGTGTGTGTTTCATACAGGGGTAGATCTTTCTCTGTGTCATTGCCAAACCATCCCATGGCAGGGTTTCTCTCCTCTTTCTCCTCATCATCCCTCCCCCCGATCCTCCACCCCCACTCTATTCTACCTTTTTCTTCCGGTCGTTAGGCCTTTTTCTCTAGCTGCTTATGCGGTAATGTCCACAAACAGAGAGGGCTTTGTGTTGTGAGAGGGGGGAAGAGAGAGAGATTGGTGTGTGTATGTGTGTGTGTGTGTTCGTGTGGTGATGGTGGTGGGGGGTAATGGGGTTCGAAGTGTTAGCCTGCACTTCTAATGAGCTCTGATGAGCAACAAGCTGACATTCCCCTCGTTAGTGAGGCCTCACTACAAAAGCACAGAGTATATAGACGCGCACACATGCTCACACACATATACATGAAGAGCCGTGCACGCACATACACAAACAAATTGCATCCCTAAGTCGGTCCCACACAAACACACCAGTGCACACGAACATGATTGCACTATAATTGCACGGAAACACACATACATACATGTACATGCACAGTTCTCAGCCATCTTGTTAGCTGTGCTATCGAAGCTTCACCAGCAGCTTTCAGACATCATGCTGCAGTTGAAGTGTGAGTGTGCGTGTGTGTGTGTGTGTGTGTGTGCGTGCGTGCTGTACTGCATGTATGTGTGCATGTCTGCCAGAGCTTAAGGCGTGCAGCTTGTCTTGTGATCGGCCTGATTGTAGAGCTTAACCATTTTACACTCAGACACACACAAACATACCCACAAACAAACAAACAAACAAACAAACAAACAAACAGACAATGTCTTATGACAGCAGTAAGGGGAAGGAAGTCAGGCCATACGCTCTCCTCTGGCTGTGTGTGTCTGGATTTCAGTTGTCTGATAAACTTCTCAGCCATATCATTTTCCAGTGGTGTGTATGTGTGCAGGCTAAGGGACACTGTTAAACAAATACCTGGATAACTTTTGAAATTAGGTTTTATATCACACCATCAACAAGATTAAGAAAAAGCCTCACATTCAGCCAACAAAATTCACCATTTCAAAGGACCCACACACACAAAAACGATTCTCAAGTGGTCCTCAAAGGTTGAAATCTGAAGAGCAAGGTGATTGTGTGTGCCACCTGTGGAAGATATTTCCTAAATAGGACTGACAAATGTAAACAGGCAGAGATAATCATTCAAATGCCAAACAATGTACAGGCTGATTGCAAGACTGATTGCTGCTGTTTCATCCAAGAGCTGCAACATAATGATAAGTGGAGGAAGATGAAATTTCTGTTCCAGTGGAGCTCAAGTGCCGGTTGGGACAGACAATGCCAAAGAAGATATTTTACCGGTGCAGGCAGTGTTTTCCATATCATGTGTGTCTGGGCATCCACTTGCTGCTTCGTAACTGAGCGAGACAGGTTGACTGTAGCCACGTATAGGCTGTCCACATATAAAAAGCAGTCTGAGCAGGCACACTGCTGAGGTGGTTAAAGAATTAGTGCTAAACTTCAGCTCAGTGCCTATACCTGATTACACAATTAATATATAAGAAGAGTTGAAGTAGTGCAGGAGAAAAGCCTACACACACTTATTTTAAGATTAGACTAATATGATATCTTGGTTAGTTATAATCTTATTAGATGTCATCGGCAAACAATGATAAGGTCTAATCATTTTTGACTGTTAATGCTGAGCATCACAAGGTAGCGCTGGCTCAAAGTTTGACATTAACAAAAGCTTAAGCAAAAAATGCAGCAATGCAAGGTTTGTAAGTTTAATCCTCAACATGTGAATTGTAACAAACCCCATTTTTGATACTATTTATTGCCAGTATTTTAACCACAAAAGCTATTTGACATTTTTGCAGGCTGTAATTGCCTCTCTAGACAGTAGTTTTTATTGTTGGTGGTGGACACCGCATTCCCCACGTGGGAACTGTGTACCCACATGCCCACATGTGATTGACAGGAAATGACGCATCTACTAGATGTGATGTGGAAGGCAAAAGCCACATTTCAAGTATTATGAAAGACATTCCGTCATAGGTTCATTATTTCTGCTTTGGATGACTAAAACAATGTGATAGGTGGAATCCATTCAGCCTACAGGTTTTTTGATTGCACCGCTAATTGTGGATGTATAAAGAGAACTGGATACAGTGTTGGGGCAGGACCCTTTTCATTCCTATAAAAGTTGCTCAGTGGCGCATGAAGCCATAAAAGTTTGACTTCCCAGGTGTAAAATTACTTGGATCTTCTGCATTGTTGAGCCCATAGAGCAGCTACACTAGAGTCTTCTGCCGAGTAAGCAGCTAGCAGACCTAGCCCTCCACTAACATGAATGTGGATAAAATGATTTAATTGCACAGCTCTTATCGTCCGAATGGATTTAATCCTGATAGTAAGATGATTCTTTCACAAGGGTTGTATCCACCGATTTACAGACATCTCTTTCACGGTCTCACATTAGCGTTCAAGTCAGGTGCACTTCTTGGGGGCTTGCCGTAAACCTTTGTTGCATTTCTGACAGAATATGAAGTCAGGTATGCTGCCCCCTGTGGTCAACATGTGTCAT